TGCAAAAACCCTACAGCAGCTTGTTGCGGGAAATACACCATTGGAAAACACATGAGACTCCACAATCGTGCCAACACACCATTCCTGGGGCTGCAGCGTCGCGAGTCAACGTGACAGCTGCGTACTGATAGTCCTAAACCGTGCGAGAACACCATTGCTGGGACTTCAACACTGCGAACCAATCGATTTTCGAAACTGTTGGAAGCTTTCAAAAGTAGTGATCGCGGCGCTCATGTGGGAGCAAACTTATGAAAAGAACCGCCCTTCATCCGTGAAGCTGTTGCGAATTTCAAAGGCGAATGTGCGCGGCGCAATGGAAAGAGCCACATTTTGAAAACGACCCACCCTCCACACGTCAAACGGTTGCAAACTTTTAAGACGAATGTGCGCGGCGCTGAAACGAGAGCCACATGTTGGAACGGGCCCGCCCTCAACTAGTGAAACTGCTGCAACTTTTCAGAATGAACGCGCGCGTCGTCCTCCATCCGTGAAACTGTTGCAAATTTCAAGCTTCAGGGCTATAGATGGTGAGGACCTCTCAGGCGAAACGCCCGTCCCGCCCTATCGACAGGCCTGGGGGTGCGACAGGGAGTTACAGGAGGAGTGTGGACTGCCAGATACTTCTGGCGACATCCAATACGCAACCTAAACTATATACTTACCACCGACCGTCCAACATGACCACTCATTGGTTACCTCTACGGGCAAAAACCAGCACCAGAAGTGGTCAAGGACGAGCTCAGCATTCCGACGGCGACCGTGGTGATGATATTTCCGTGCTTGGTACCGCGATCCGAGCCACTCAGTCTCATCGAGTCGGGGCCCACCGAACACATCTTCCTTGGATGCACGCGACGCGTAGAGCTCAACGAAATCGAGGAACTGGAAGAACTGAGCATAACATAAGACATAGGACTACCAACATTACACCGACCAACCAGATGCGCACAATGTAGCGTTGACCTCGAGCACCACAAACGCGCCTCCGAACGTCTTCGCTGTATCACAGCATCGAGAGGAGTGACAGGCAGTAACCGAGCCGCGGTTCCCCAGCTAGACGCCATCATAACCTCGCCGCACTGCCGCCTGGACCGCCCAAACTCACGACCCACAAGATGCACGGGCCGTGTCCGTGGATCGTGTATAGCGGGCCGTCTACGCGAAAAGGAAAGCGCTATCAGACCTACTACGTCAACAGTAGCAGCAGGACATACTCGACACAGACGCGCCCATTCGGTTCGCGGAGATGCACCTCAATCCGGACCTGAACTATGGCTGTGGCCTCGAGGCCATCGATCGCTTCTTCGCCAGCCACAACGCTGACCTCGCGCACAACCTGTTGCGACCGGGCATCACGAGTTCTCGTCGAGCTCATCATCGCGCAGTCCGCTACCAGCATGACAGTCGAGACGGCTGTCAGCGTCATCGCCGAGGTACGGCGCCTCGCGCAGACGATCCAGCCGTTGGACCACCAGCGCACTTGCCCAGAGCTGCAGCAAGTACGGGCACCTGGAGCGTGGGGCAGCGGACAAGCGGCTCTTCCACCGAGCGCCCGCTCGGCGGCCCCTGCCGCTGCGCCAGCTGCCGTGCAGCGGCCGCCCGCTCAGCTACCGACCCTGCAGTGGCCCTTGTATAGGCAGCACCGCCGATGGCAAGGGCGCAGCGCCCCGCCTCAGCAGACCAATCCATCAGCCGACGACCTCAGCGTAATCCATCAGTCGACCAGCATACTTCGGTAGCAAATCATGGGAGCCTGGCATGCCCTGTCAATCCCGTCTCTGGCGTCGATCAGCGTCGGCTCGAGCGGGCCATGCCTCGGCCCCGGCGGCCGGCCGTGCCCCCCCTCCTCGCCCTCGCCTTCCCCCCCCCCGCCGCCCGTGCATGTGCCTCCCGTGGCGGGCGCTGCTCGCCCCCTGCCTGCGGCCCTCCCGCTCGGAGGCGGCCGGGCGATACCGCGTCGTGCAGGCCGGGACGCCCGTGACGCCGGCGCCGCGCCGCGGGGGCGCGCCCGTCGCTGAGCTCGGCGGCGGCACGGTGGTCGGCGTCGCCGAGGTGCGCCTCGCAGGCGGCGTCGTGTGGGCGCGGCTCGAGGATGGGCGGCGAGCGGGGGGGGGGAAGCGAGAAGGAGGGGGCCCTCTCAGAAGGCGGCGGGCCTTCCCAGGAGCCCTTGCGCCTTCTGAGGGGCTTTTTCCTGTCTTCGGGGAAGGCTCAGCACACGTCTCCAAAGGCCGGGGGACTTGCGCACCCTCTGAGGAGGCCTTCTCCTTCTCTCTTCCCCCCCTCGCTCGCCGCTGAGAGGAGCCCGCGGGCTGGATCCCCCTGTTCGAGCCGCGCACGGGCAGGAGCTGGGCAGTGAAGCAGGCGGCCAGCGCGCCGCCTGCGCGGCCGCCACTCCCCGATGCCGCGCCCGCGGCCCCGCCGCCGGCGCCGCCCGAGGCCCCGGCGGCGAAGCCGCAGGCGGCGCCCGAGGCTGCGGTGGAGACGTTCGCCTTCGCGCGTGTCGGCACGGTGAGGTCCGTCTTCCCGTCGCCCTTCTCGGGTCTGACGAGGGGGGACGGGGAACTCGGAGAGGGTCCGAGGCGGGGATCTATCCATAACCACCGCCTGGGGGATCGACCCTCGCGGGCCTCCACGGGCGGTGGACATGGATGTGGTCGGCCCCCCGGGGGCCAGCATACGTGCACATCCACCGCCCGCAGGGGCACCAGGACGTCGGTTCCCGGGCGGTGGATATGGATAACTCCCCGCCTCGCAGGGGGACATGGGGGAGAGGGGGGCGATCTCAAACATGGATCAAGGGGGCGTGGATTAGTGACGGCTCCCGTTTTCATGGGAAATCGCGGATTTCCGCCGCCGAACGAGGCGGCACCGGCCGCCATTTGGGTGAGGGCACCCCCCCCCGATCCATGGACTTGGCCACCGCGCGCCAAATCCATGGATCGCTAATCCATGTTTGCGCTCCCCCCGCCTGCAGCAGGGCATGCCCGACCCAACCCTTGCCCATCCCCCCCCCTCGCGTCCGACCCGGCCCTCGGGTGCCCCAGGCAGGGCCTCGCGGCGCCCTCGACCCGCGGCCGCGTCGAGCTCGCGCCGTGGCTCGTGGCGCCGCAGGGCGCTGGCGGCGGCGCCGGCGGCAGGGCCGCGGGGAGCGCCGGCCACTTCTTGAGCTCGGTGGCGAGCGAGGGGGGGACGACGTGTCATGGCGCCAACATCGCAGGAGTGGATGTCGTTCGGAAAACAGTCGGATGGGTCCCGGGTGTCCTGGAGGGGTTCGCTCCGGGGTTCCAAGCGAACGTCGTGCGTTTTTTTGGGGGGGCCAGGAGTGAAGGCTAAAGAAATCCACGTGAGATTCACTTCGTTTTTCGCTCGCCGTTTCGGGGCTTAGCATTGACAGAAATCCACGCAAGAATCCGCTCCAGCACGTCTGCAAGGTCGGTGCAGTGAGACGTGCGAAGGAGAAGGCCTGCTCAGCAGGCGGCGGGACTTCTCAGAAGCCCTCGAGCCTTCTGAGGAGTTTCTTCGGTCTGCGGGGAAGGCTCAGAACACGTCTCCGAAGGCCAGGGGAGTTCCGCACCCTCTGAGGAGGCCTTCTCCTTCTCACTTCCCCCCCTCGCTCGCCGCCGATGAGCGGCCTGGAGGGCTTCTCGCACGTCTGGATCCTCTTCTCTCAGAAGGTAAAGCGGCGTAAGCATAAACTTTTGGCGCTCCGCGCGGATCTCTGAGATCTGCGCTGGACACCCCTCCCTGGCGCGCGGAGCGCGCCAGGGGCGGCGCTGGAGGCACCGCCGGGGGGCCCAGCGCGGATCCAAGAAATCCGCGCGGAGCGCCAAAAGTTGATGTTTATGGTGTTTTTTCTTCTTCTATCGTCGTCTTCGACCAGAACCGTCACAGCACAGCCTCCTTTGACGCCCAGGCGTCGTTCCTCCGTCCGACTGTGCGGCCGCCGTGGCTGACAGGCTCCGAAGGCCAGCGCGGCGACTGCGGTGTCTTCGCCACGCGCTCGCCGCACAGGCCCAATCCTGTGGGCCTGACAGTCTGCAAGCTGGACGGTATAGATCATGCGCGGGGAGTGCTGTTCCTGAGCGGTATCGATGTTGTGGACGGCTCCGCGGTCTTGGACATCAAGCCGTACCACCCCGTCGACTCGTTGCGCCCAGCGCCGCCCCCAGGGGAGGCTGGCGGCCGCGACTGGTGGCCCTGTACCTTCCCGTCGTGGCTGCCCTTGCCTACCCCCACGATCGCTGCAGTCTGCTGGCGCGACTCCGCGCTGGCCCAGCTGGAGTCGCTCCGCGAGCATTGCGCCTTCTATCCGGACGGGCGCGACCAGGGCGCCCTTCCTGGCGGTGGCGACGTCCCTCTGACCGCACCGGCACAGGCCCTCCGACGGGCTGTGGATGAGGTCTTGGGCCTGGACCCGCGCACTCCGCAGTCGCGGCGACGCGGCAAGGACGCGGGCGCCGAGACGAAGCACTGCTACTGGGCTATAGACGTCGACGCCCTCAGCGTGGCCTTCCGGCTGGTCGGCGGCGGGGGCCAGGGCGACTCTCGGCCCCTCTTCGAGGTCGTGAGCGTGGGGCGGCGCGGCGCAGGCGGCGCGGGCAGCGGCTCGAAGGCCTGGCTGGAGAGGCTGCGGTCCGACCTGGAAGGCGGGGAGAGAGAGCGCCCTGCCTCGCCCTGCCTCGGCACGGCCCTCCTGCCCCGCTGCTCCCCCTGCTCACCACCCACCAAACCACCCCAACCCAACCCGAAGGCTCAGGTTTACCCTCGATTTCCAGTGGGGGGGGGTCGAGAAACATTGAAAAAACACATGTGGAACCCGTACCCCCCCCAACCCGAAATTCGGGTCTTCGGGTTGGGTTGGGGTGGTTTGGTAGGTAGTCACCTGCTCTCTCCTCTGCCCTCGCACGCCCTGGGCTGGCCGCTGCCCTCCCGTGGCCGGGCGCGCAGGGCTCCAGCCTGCGGGGCCGAGGAGCTGGGGAGGCCACGCGGGGCCGCTCGGCCCCTCTGCGGCTCTCGCGCTCCCTGCCCCCTGGGGCACCTGGCACCCCTCGACCCCGCGCGTGGGCCCGCTGCCCTCCGCCGCCCGCTCCCCGCCCCCTGCCGCGCGCTGCCGGGCCCGCCCTCCGCCCTCTCGGCCCCGCCCGGCTGCAGCCGCTGCCCCCCCCCCCCCCTTTGGCCGCCAGCCGCCCTCGGGGGCCGCGGGCGCCCGCGCGCGCCCGTGCGCACGTCTGCGGTCGGCGTCACCCCAACGTATTAATGCTATGTGTTCGCCGCCCCCCCAGGGGCGACGCGCGCACCGAGAAGTCTTGTAGCATATGCGTCGCGGCGAGCGCTTTCTGGCCACACCGCTCGGGAAACGATGTACCGCAAGATGGGTATACGATATGTTCGGGTCGGACGCGCGCCTCCAAGGAGGACAGATAGTGCTAGCATGTCTCTGTGCATCCCATGCGGGTCGCTGGCTTGGCGGGTCCGCTGCCCTCCGCTGCCAGAGCTCTGAGACGCTTCGCGCCAATCCACCAGCCCATCCAGGCACGATGCCATGGGGGAGTTGCCCTGAGCAGGGATGTGGAGGAGCATGCGGTAGAACGAAGGGCTGGGTAAGCCGTTGTTACCTCAAGATGGGGAGGATGGAGGAGGAATCGGACGAGGAGGGGGAGGGGAATGGGGGATGAGGGATGAGGGATGAGAAGGAACAGGCAGATGAGGAGGAGGATGACGAGGAGGATGAGGGGGAGGAGGCGGAGGAGGAGGAGGAGGATGAGGAGGATGAGGAGGAGGAGGAGGAGGAGGAGGAGGAGGAGGAGGAGGAGGAGGAGGAAGAGGAGGAGCAGGAGCAGGAGCAGGAGCAGGAGGAGGGCGAGCAGAAAGGCCAGAGGCCTCTTGGATACCTTTGGGAGTCTCTTCGGATGGCTCTTGAGAGCTTCTTGGAGTACTCTCGGGTCGTCTTGGGGGACCTTTTTAGCGGTCCCGAGGGCCTGTTGGAGCGTCGTGGGTGCCTTGGAAAAGTCACTTGGGGCCTCTCAGGGGTTTCTTGGGAGCCTCTGGGACCTCTTAGGGACCTCTTCGGGCCACCTGACCGCCTCCTCGGGCCCTCTTGGGGCCTTGGGAGCCTTGGGGGCCATCTTTGGGCCATCTAGGAGAACATCGATGAAATAAGGGGGGCCCTAGTTGCTCTCCCAGGAGGCCAGAATTGGGCCAAAAACTCAAGAACATCTTTGATTTTTGACTTCTCGCCGAGGCCATCTTGGACGCTCCAATGTGTCGTGGCCCCTGGTTCAGACCCAGGGCAAGGGGGTATGGGGAGGGATCAGGGCATGGGGGTATGGGGCGCCCGCGCACGCTCTATATTCGGAGGCAACGTATAACTCGTATAATTTTTGGCAGGGATGGTCGGCCTGCGCGCAGCAAGCAGTATGAGGCCCCCCCGCCGTCCTGTGGGGCGCCCGCGCATTCTCCAGATTCGGAGGCAAAGTATTTTGTATTGTTTTGTGGCAGGGATGATTTGCCTGCGCGCAGCAAAAAGTATCAGCCCGCTCCGCCGTTCCTGTCAACAACTATTGCAAAGTGGTCGCGGGGCGCCCGCGCATTCTCCAGATTCGGAGGCAACATTAATTTGTATTCTTCTTTGATAGGGATAGTGGGGGTTCGGCGTGGGTTCGGGTTAGCTGCCGGTCGTGTGGAGGAGGGTTTGTTTGTTACCTGGGCAGTGGCAAACGCCTCTCCGAAGGGGAAGAAGGGGGGTTGGAAGAGGAAGCGCGCTGAACCACGCACGACCAGAGGGCTGGTGGGATATGTCCACATCCACTGCTGCGGGGTCGTGATCTGGCATCTCGAGGAGTGGTGGATATGGAGATCTGCCCCATCGCGTGGTCGGGCAGATATCCATATCCACCGCTCCCCGATTCCCAGATACGCGACCCAGCGGCAGGGGATGTCGGCCTATTCTGGCATCGCATGCCCCTCTCGTGGCTCCTTGGCACCCTCACCGATTCCGCTGCCCCTCTCGGACCCTACTGCGTCCCTCCAGAGCCCCGCAGAAGTCGTGTTTAGATGTGTATGCATAATCAACTTTGAGCGGTGATCTGTGAGACACGCCGTTCCCCCCCCCTACCCTTGAGGGGTCCTCGACGCATCTTAGAGGTACCAGACGAACTTTTGACCGTCCCCAACGGCGCCTTGGAGCCCAATTTGCAATTTGTGCCTAGCACGTTTCCCCCCCCCCCCCCCGAAGCAGCGCGAACTGAGGGGGTCATGACTTTTAGCAGTTCTAATTTCTAAGAGTTCCTGGACGACCTCCGTCTTCTCCACGAGCCCTGGTTCAAGTAGTGTCTGCATGCGACTTCAGTGACGGACGAACTTTGTTGGCTGCGTCAGTGGGAGAGTAATGCATCGTTGAGTCCCACAGTGGGTGGGGAGTGTAGAAGCGCTACAATGTTTCGTATTCAGTGCGCGTTGCAGACTCGAGCCAGGAGGCTTCGCCCAGAAACTGGACCCTGGTCTGCTCCTTCGTCGCAGTCTGGTCGCCAGCCTGGCCGTGGATTCCTCCCGCTTCACAGAATGCACGTCAGGAGTCAGTCTTCCGACTGCATGGTCTGGCTTGCGCCTTTTCAACAGTGGGGACATGTGTGGGAGATTGCAGTTTCTGATGATGTGAGCTTCTTGGGGGCCAGGTGGGGGAATCTTTGGGCGTCTCGGGGGGCCCCTTGTAGGCCCTTGTGGGGTGTCTCGGGGACCTCTTGGAGGTGTCCCGTGGTCCGATCGCGGATCTCTTGTTGCGGCCATTTTGGAGAATTGTTGTATCCCTATTGGTGGCCTCGGGGGCCGTTTTCGGGGCCTCTGAACTCGGCATGGAGGGTTCGTCTCGGCATCTGGAACGGGAAGTCTGGGGACGTAGTATTAGTATTCGGAAAAGTACGTGGGTCGTTGCATGCATGTGCTCGATGCTTCGGACTCCGAGCGGCGAGCTGTATACGATAGAGTCCATAACTATTTGAAAACAGGTAAGGGTCACGACCTTTGGGTTTCACAGAGTCCAGGTCCCGGAGTAGCAACCGAGCTGTCCTTCAGAACAGGCGCAGGAACGACTGCCTTTGGGCTTCTCGTGCGGCGGAACTCTGGGTACCGCAGGCAGGCAGCTGGACCCGAGCTCGCGCGCCAGCGTCGGTGCAGCTCAACGGTGGTGGCTCTGTCATGCGCGGTGGCTCCGTCGCACGCTCACCGCCGCAGCCCTGCGGGCGCTCCGTCGCTGCCCCGGTGGGCACCCAGTCTCCGCCCCGTGCTTTGCACTGCTCTGCACTGCTCGGCATTGCTGTGCGCTGCGTTGCATTGCCTTGCATTGCCTCGCAATCCTTTGCATTGCTTTGCCTTGCTCTGTATTGCTTTGCATCGCTTTGCGCTGCTTTGTGCTGCTCTGTGCTGATTTGCGATGCTTTTCGCTACTCTGCACTTCTTTGCATAGCTTTGCATCGCTTTGCACAGCTTAGCTTTGCTTTGCCCTGCTTTGCAGTGCTTTGCGCCAGTTTGCGTTGACTTGCGATGCTTTGCATCGCTTTGCGTTGCTTTGCACTGCTGTGCATTGCTCTGCATTGCCTTGCCTGCCTTACGCTGCTTTGCACTGCTTTGTGTGCTTTGCGTGGCTTTGAGAATGGCTTCGCATGGCTTTTTGGGTTCTGCCCTGCACGGCCTTTCCCGTACTGCCCCGCATCGCTTTGCATTGCTTCTCCCAGCTTTCTTCTCGGGGCCCACGCTGGGTTCGTTGCGCGTTGCACATCTCCGTCTGCCTTCAGCGTGCACGCGCGCGTTCCAGGACGCATCGAGATCTGGACGCGCCCACCTCCCCAGGCCCTGGCCCACCCTGGGCCCAGGAGGGGCGCCCGTGCCTCCCCGTCCAGGCCAGGAGGGCGTACGCGCCGCTTCCAGGCCCTGGGGCAGTGGATGCGTTTCGATCCCGTCGTCCGGGTCGCCCCCCGGGAGCGCGACGATGGGCGCGCCTCGAGCCTCGCGGCGTGGGCCGGCGAGGCGCCCTTCTCCCGGGCGGCGGCGCGAGGGCGCGAAGACGGCCGCGCCTCGGGCGCCGCGGGGCGCGACGCGCGAAGCTCGGTGACCCCCGGGGGGTCGCCCTCGCCTCGTGCGCGCACAGAGTGGGCAGGAGCACGGCGGGGCCCGAGGGCGGCGGCCGGCAGGAGGCCTGCGCGGAGCTGGCGGCCGCCGGGCGCGAGCTGCACGGCCGCCACGCGGAGCTGCGGCAGGAGCACGCGGCTGGGCAGCAGGCGTTGCGGGTGCGGGAGGAGGAGATGATCGGATCGGCGAGCGAGGGGGGGGAGCGAGAAGGGGCGGGCCTTCTCAGAAGGCTCGGGAGTCCCCCGGCCTTCTGGGAAGTGTTCTGAGCCTCCCCCGAAGACACGGAGCACTTCTCAGAAGGCGCGAGGGCTTCCGAGAAGTCCCGCCGCCTTCTGAGAAGGCCTTCGCCTCCCCGTTTCCCCCCTCGCTCGCCGCCAAGATGAGGGGCAACGACAGGGGGCGATAGGCTCCAGGGGGGGTCAGGGGTGGATGCATCGACCCGCAAACGCTCCCATGCCCCCGATTGGTGTCTGACAGCCCCAACCCGCCCAAGACTGTGGATT